TTTGCCAAGTTGCCCGGAGGTCCGTGGAGGGTTTACCTCCCCACGGTTTACCCCGGGTTGCTTCGGTATATGGACCCGAGGGGGGTGTAGAGTAACGGGAGGAAAAGATGTGGAAGTACTACGTGAAGGGCAAGAGTAAAGCGAACAGGGAGCCTGGGTGCTTCAAAATAGTCTTCGCGTTTTCCGGTTATGTGTACATTATTAAGGTTTTTTGCTGGCTGTTTTCGGTCCCTGCGGAACCATTAGGATTTTGCGGAAAATAGAAGGCTGACGTTTCCAAGGAGATATGCGCTTGTCGGGGTGTGTGCAGATTTTCAGATTTGCTTATTACATCAATTTGGTCTTTTCGGCTTTTTAGGATTTTGGGGGGAGTTTGGAGTTGGCGTTTTCCAATCRGTCGGGTGTGTCAGGAGGGCGGGACCGAAAGAGGGAAGAGATTGCTTGGGCAACGGCAACCGTCGAATAGGTTCAACGGGTGCGGGGAAGCGGGAAGCAGTTCCGGAAGTCGAGAGGGGMAGCTCSGGAGGAAGGAGACGAAGGAGAGTACTAAYTAAGGAACGTCGGAGATGGAGGAGAAGATKGGGGAMAGTGCCGAGATGGGAGTTGCAGAGGGGAGAAGATGAGGGGATGAGAAAGACARAATTAGTATTTCTCGATTACRGAGGTGAAGGAGTGTTCGGCCTTGTTCTGCCAAACCAGTCGAASGAAAACCGGGAGAAGATACGGTAAGCYGTTCCGCACTTAAGTACCGAAAAAAGGAAAAAAGAGAGATGGAACGGGYTGCAGGTGTCAGTAAGTRGAGGGAAGATCGGGAAGCATGCGATTCGAAGGAAGGGAGAGACGGAAGCAGGGAGAAGCCAAGGCGGAAAAGGAAGAAACAGGGTTACCATAGGAAGACGAGAAGGGGAAGAGTGAGAGAGTAGGGACTTAGGAGAGTAGGAGTAGAGACCAAAGTACCGATCTGAGATGCGTGCGCTTTAGTATAAAAGGAAGGGGCGGTGTGGGGTCCTAGCATACAGATTCAGTTGTATGGAAGTATGTCTGGTGAAGTGGCCTCCTGATGATCCGCTGTGTGCGCCAGCGGTGAAACGCGTAGGGGCATGCGTACTGTTTGTTGAGTGGAATCTGATATCGGGTTTTTTGAGATGGTGTTCGAAGTTGTTTGATATGTCTTGCATCTTCTTGTATTCTTATCCCCACCTCTATCTTATCTTAATCTCTGTAAGCGTGGTAACCGGCTGTGTACGACATCTCGCGGTGGCTACGTTGGTGATTTGGTGTTTCCAACAGACTTGCTCGGAGCGTGACCGTCTTCGAGGCCGTCGACGTGTTTATCRATGGTGGACGTCTATACCTCGTGGCAGTGGTAAGATCGGAGTGTGAACATCTCCCCTTACATGCCCGTAGGACTTGGGTATGGTGGGTAGGTTGGCCGGAAGGAGCGCAAGACTGATCGGTAGGAGCATCGGCGTTGTGCTCGGTATTATTGGGATTTCGACCATCATATGATTAAGGTGTGCTAGAGACAGGTGTGAGTGGACCATTGAAGTGCGCATCTCGGTGAAGTATAGGAAGTAGTATGACGGAGAGGAACTTTAGGGAAGCGGAATTTAACAGGCAGTGGAAGGAAGTGGAGAAGTTAGTCTATGATCAAGCGATTCCCACGATCTTTGTAGCAGTGGACTATGGTGGGGATATTGCGAGGGAAGAGCTTGTATGTATATTTGAATGCTTCCTGGGGAAGTTGTATAGCCTAGGGTGTCTAGTAAGGGATAAGAGAAGAAGGAGGAGGAGACAAACACGAAGGGGGGCTAGGAGTTAAGGGAAGAATGCAGAAKCTGGGAGGCGGTATGGTTYCCGGATTSGCTAGTGGGATTGTCGTTAACGGAGGTAACCAACCGGGGGTGGTCACGTGTCATAATTGCGGGAAAGTTGGGCATTATGCCCGAAACTGTTGGGCCGCAGGAAACGGGAGGGGACCACCAGTTCAGCATCCCTTGGCGAATGAAAATGATGTCGAAACCAGGGAAATGCGCGAGTATTTCCGGGAGAAAATTAGGAGGAAGAAGCTGGATGAGGAAAAGAAGGAGAGGGAGGTKGAGGAGAGGAGACGGAAGGAGGAAGACTTTCGGAAAGAACAAGATAGGATAAAGGAGGCGGAGGCAAGGGAAGCTAGACTGGAGGCGAGACTGATGSGGCTGTTAGCACAGCATAACAAGCAGAGTGCACAGCCCGAGAGTTGGAATACCAAGAAGAAGTCTCCTAGGACGAAAGCTAGGGTATTGAGGGAAATAAGGAGTTATTTGGAAGAGTCGGATAATGATAGCGAGGAGGTTAGGGAGGAGGCCGGGAGACTTGTTGAAGCAATTGAAAAAAGGAAGGGGAAGCGAGCATATTATCGTGAAGATGRAAGGGGTTCAAGGATTCATTACCGGGAGGTACCGGTAAAGATCGAAGATGACGAAGAAAGGACTCCTCCACCGACGAAGAAGAGGAGTGAAGATGACAGCATGCTGGAATTTGCAATCGAACTTCACAGGCACCTTTCCGAGAAGAAGGTTCCAGAGTTGCGGAAGCTGTGCAGTAAGGAGGGGATTGAGTGGTCAAAGAAAGACGTAGCCATTGGAGAATTGGTAAAGTGCAAAGCGAAGCTTGCCTACGGTGATTACGCAGAGAATGGCCGGATTGCGGATCTATTWKAGAAATGATAAGGGATTAGGATGGAACAGTTACGGGATGAAATGAATGCACGGAGGAAGGATGTGGAAGAAAAGGGCGGAAGGCTCCAAGCTCCAATTGAGGATAGGATTTTTAGGTTGTTCCTACTGTGTGTTATATCTGGAGAATGCCCGTGGGCAAGGAAGTGGGTGAAGATCGTGAGCGGGAATGAGGGCGATGTGTCATCTTCGAATCCCGGAGTTTACGCGTGGGTGAGTCCTTGGTGCAGACATTTTTATATCGGTTGTACATCTCAAGCGGTGATCACTAGGTGGGCCGATCATGTGCATCTGGTGGTCCGAGGAAATCCCGGCAACGCACCCAAGTTACATGCATGGCTGCGGATCTTTGGTTGGCAGAGGTACCTTGTCATTCCACTGGTTGATAGAAGTAGAGACCTCTTTTTGGTAGAAACGAGCTTTATTAAGAGATTCTCGCCAGCGCTCAATACGCAAGGAATGGGGAGGGAGAGGTTGCCGGGAAGAAAGAAGACGGTCGGGAAGAGGGAGAGAGGGAAGAGGCAACCGAATCCTCTTAGTAATGTGATCATCAAGTTCAATGGCAAGGTTTCAATTATCGATCTTCTTCGAGAGATGTCCCTGGAGGTAGGCCCGCAGATGCTTACGGTAACAAGGGGGAGCGTATGGATAGATAGATGGAAGGTTGTGAGGAAGAAATTTGGAGAAACGACGATCCGGGTTGATGGYGCTGAGAGAAGTCTGAAGGATTGTAAGGAGGTACTTCAGAAAGGAGGAAGATTTCGGGTTGGGAAKATTASGATTGTACCTTCGAGCGTCATACACAAGAGAAACATCTTGAGAGACACGCTTAAACAGCCCWSGARGATTCGCGGTTTGTATAAGAAGAGCTCGAAGGAGCTCATTGCGCTGTACCGCACCGCCATGACMTTTTCYAGGAAAGAGAGTAGGAACCGCACCAAGAATATTGTTGCCAAGATCGTTAKGAACAAATACGGGCACAACATCAGAYGGAARMCGTACGTGAAGGTTCCGTTTTCTCCCCAGGTAAAGAAAGGAGTCGTGAGGGTGGTAGCAGCAGAGGTAATCATGCGATCGGTCGCAGATCCAGACCTTGCRAGGTTCACAGCAAGCAGGGTACGGGTAGTCGAGAGAAAGAGGACGTCCGTTGGTATGGTTATTCACAACCATTGGGAGTGTGCGAAGAAGTCCTCGGTAGAGTGCACGTGTGAGCATTTTCAGTAACCCAGGAGTGAGGGCCATGTCAGAGTTAGACTTAGTGAAGTCGAAGGAGTTTCGTCGTTTTTATGGAATTCAAAGAATGTTACGTGCGGAAAACGGATCTCGCCTGAATTTCTCAGTACGTGTATACTAGAGGGAGTGAAAGATTGGGTGAGAGGCAAAGGGTGTGAGATTCCACGCGATACCTTGATTGGTTGTTTGGACGGAGAAATCCGAGGGAGGAGCGCCGCCATGTATGTCAATGAAGTGAGAGCCCATTTCCAGGGGTTCGGCGGCCTTGTGGCAGTACCAATCGACAGGAACCCAGGCGCCACACTCGTTTTATGCCCAGTGTTGTATTTTCGTGCTTGCCGTCGGACGTTCAATTTGAGCAACAGCTTCCGGGTGGTTCGGGAGGAGGAAGCAGATCTCATGTCCACAATGAAGAAGGAATTTGTGCATCAAGGTCTGATGAAGGTTGGGAGATGGCAGACCGGAGGTAAGATTGGCGAGGCCTACGTCTTGCCCAAGGATAAGGATCTATGCCGATGGAGACCCATTTCTCCCTGCACTTTCGATCCGACGAGGCTTGCCGGAGCACGAGTAGGAAGGGCGATCCGTTACATGTTGTTTAACATTCCGAAATCGCACCATTTTGATCTCAAGTCTTCAGATAGTCTGGGGGGCAGGATCAAAGAGATTCAGCAGGACATCGACAACAATGGAGATTACATTACGGCACGAAGCTACGATATTAAGGACATGTTCGCGAGATTATCTCACGAGAGCGTGATGGAAGCCGTGTGCTGCCTCACCAGATACCATGAGAATAAAGGATTGATTGGCGTGAAGGTAAGCACGAGGGGTAAGATGTGTTCTATGGTAAACAGATGGAGGAAAGAAGATGGGTTCATCCTTCTGACGATCGGGGATATCAGACGGGAAGTTGAGTTCGAACTGAATCACTCCTTTGTATGTTGTACAGGGGAAGTTTTGAAGAAGGGAGTCGGGATTCCAATGGGCCGCAACTCGAGCCCAGCGCTTGCATGTATAGTATGCACAAAAGCCGAATTTGAATTTCTCAATCAGGTGAAGTGTTCCCGAGTGGTCATTCGTGGCTTGAGGATGATTAATGATGTCGCAGTATTTGTTGGATGTAGGAAGCTCAGACCCGAGTCCTTTGCCACTGCAGCGAGGGTCTTGGACGACTTTGAGAGTTGCTATGATGAGAATATTAAACTTGTACGGAAAGATGCAGGAGGCAACGTGTTTGACTTTCTTGGTACATGCGTGTTTGNATGAGAATATTAAACTTGTACGGAAAGATGCAGGAGGCAACGTGTTTGACTTTCTTGGTACATGCGTGTTTGCAGGGGTCGAACCAGTCGTGATCGACGTACACCCCCGGACACGGAATCAGGAAGGATTGATTCGAGAAGGGATATTGAAAGTTCAGTCGATGCAGGATTTCGCCTCGTTCTCTAGGAAAGCAGCGAAAAAAGCCGTATTATTCGCTACCTTGGTACGGATGAGAAGGATCTCTACGTCGGATGAAGCAATGAAAGCTGCGATCGATGCATTGATGGTTRAAGCTTGCCTCCGGAGTTACCCTCCGGAGGTCTCTCTCGGGGCTTTGGCTCGRTTTGCCAAGTTGCCCGGAGGTCCGTGGAGGGTTTACCTCCCCACGGTTTACCCCGGGTTGCTTCGGTATATGGACCCGAGGGGGGTGTAGAGTAACGGGAGGAAAAGATGTGGAAGTACTACGCGAAGGGCAAGAGTAAAGCTAACGGGGAGCGTGGGTGCTTCAAAATAGTCTTCGCGTTTTCCGGTTATGTGGCTGTTTTCAGTCCCTGCGGAACCATTAGGATTTTGCGAAAAATAGAAGGCTGACGTTTCCAAGGAGATATGCGCTTGTCGGGGTGTGTGCAGATTTTCAGATTTGCTTATTACATCAATTTGTTTTTTTTGGCTTTTTAGGATTTTGGGGGGAGTTTGGAGTTGGCGTTTTCCAATAGGTCGGGTGTGTCAGGAGGTCGGGACCGAAAGAGGGAAGAGATTGCTTGGGCAACGACAACCGTCGAATAGGTTCAACGGGTGCGGGGAAGCGGGAAGCAGTTCCAGAAGTCGAGAGGGGCAGCTCCGGAGGGAGGAGACGAAGGAGAGTACTAATTAAGGAACGTCGGAGATGGAGGAGAAGATTGGGGACAGTGCCGAGATGGGAGTTGCAGAGGGGAGAAGGTGAGGGGATGAGAAAGACAGAATTAGTATTTCTCGATTACAGAGGTGAAGGAGTGTTCGGCCTTGTTCTGCCAAACCAGTCGAAGGAAAACCGGGAGAAGATACGGTAAGCCTTTCCGCACTTAAGTACCGAAAAAAGGAAAAAAGAGAGATGGAACGGGTCGCAGGTGTCAGTAAGTGGAGGGAAGATCGGGAAGCATGCGATTCGAAGGAAGGGAGAGACGGAAGCAGGGAGAAGCCAAGGCGGAAAAGGAAGAAACAGGGTTACCATAGGAAGACGAGAAGGGGAAGAGTGAGAGAGTAGGGACTTAGGAGAGTAGGAGTAGAGACCAAAGTACCGATCTGAGATGYGTGCGCTTTAGTATAAAAGGAAGGGGCGGTGTGGGGTCCTAGCATACAGATTCAGTTCTTTGGAAGTATGTCTGGTGAAGTGGCCTCCTGATGATCCGCTGTGTGCGCCAGCGGTGAAACRCGTAGGGGCATGCGTACTGTTTGTTGAGTGGAATCTGATATCGGGTTTTTTGAGATGGTGTTCGAAGTTGTTTGATATGTCTTGCATCTTCTTGTATTCTTATCCCCACCTCTATCTTATCTTAATCTCTGTAAGCGTGGTAACCGGCTGTGTACGACATCTCGCGGTGGCTACGTTGGTGATTTGGTGTTTCCAACAGACTTGCTCGGAGCGTGACCGTCTTCGAGGCCGTCGACGTGTTTATCAATGGTGGACGTCTATACCTCGTGGCAGTGGTAAGATCGGAGTGTGAACATCTCCTCTTACATGCTCGTAGGACTTGGGTATGGTGGGTAGGTTGGCCGGAAGGAGCGCAAGACTGATCGGCAGGAGCATCGGCGTTGTGCTCGGTATTATTGGGATTTCGACCATCATAGGATTAAGGTGTGCTAGAGACAGGTGTGAGTGGACCATTGAGGTGCGCATCTCGGTGAAGTATAGGAAGTAGTATGACGGAGAGGAACTTTAGGGAAGCGGAATTTAACAGGCAGTGGAAGGAAGTGGAGAAGTTAGTCTATGATCAAGCGATTCCCACGATCTTTGTAGCAGTGGACTATGGTGGGGATATTGCGAGGGAAGAGCTTGTATGTATATTTGAATGCTTCCTGGGGAAGTTGTATAGCCTAGGGTGTCTAGTAGGGGATAAGAGAAGAAGGAGGAGGAGACAAACACGAAGGGGGGCTAGGAGTTAAGGGAAGAATGCAGAATCTGGGAGGCGGTATGGTTTCCGGATTGGCTAGTGGGATTGTCGTTAACGGAGGTAACCAACCGGGGGTGGTCACGTGTCATAATTGTGGCAAAGTTAAGCATTATCCCCGAAACTGCTGGGCCGCAGGAAACGGGAGGGGACCACCAGTTCAGCAACCCTTGGCGAATGAAAATGATGTCGAAACCAGGGAAATGCGCGAGTATTTCCGGGAGAAAATTAGGACGAAGAAGCTGGATGAGGAAAAGAAGGAGAGGGAGGTGGAGGAGAGGAGACGGAAGGAGGAAGACTTTCGGAAAGAACAAGATAGGATGAAGGAGGCGGAGGCAAGGGAAGCTAGACTGGAGGCGAGACTGATGCGGCTGTTAGCACAGCATAACAAGCAGAG